TGAAATCAGAGCAGGTCAATAGCCAGAAGGCAGTAAGAAAGAGAAAACGAAGACCGCAAATGGCCACAGATATTTGAGTGATATGGGGCCTGTTCCCGCCCCCAATGTAAATGTAGTTCCTAATGCAAACATACAGTATGGCGAGTGCTGCATGCGACATGCCTTAGTTTGTAAAAGTTTGATCAGTACTCGCATACCGGCGTGAATACATTTACGAAAACTTAGAAATAATAATGAGCAGCATTAGGTATATTAAGTACTGAAAAGAACTAGAAGAAGTACTGAGTGTTTGTTAAGAAAACATTTTCCCGAGACGTAAAAACAACTTTAAATTAGAACAATAAATTTGAATCTTTTCGTAAGTTGAAAACGGAATGTAACCAATTTATACATATAAAAAGAATTTTTTTGCAGAAAATATTTTATACAAATTACCATTAGTGGATAACTATTTATAGAATATCGTCCAATAAAGTATGGCATCATTTCGATCGTTTTTAGTGTCTTCGATGCTAAATTGATAAAGTGCGTATCCGTTCGACGTTTACATCAAAACTTTTAAAATAAGATATAAGTAAAGAGCATTTACCGAAAAAAAATGAGGTTATGGATATTTATTCTTATGAAAATTGCCATGCGGATCATATTTAGAAATGCCTAAAAACAGTAAGCCACATTGTCGAGAAAAAATAACGTCCGCAAGATAACTCGGATATTGCTATTCCTAGGATTAATGAATTAACTTCCCATAATAGATTACCTCCTTTAAAAGTGCTTTATTTAGATATTCGGCCGGTGGATTGCTATGTATATTAATTGTTTCCAAGCTAATGTCACAATGAAGTTGGTGACTTGTAACAATGTTTTAATATACCTGAAGATGGGCACTCCAACTGGACTGGAAATGAAAGAATTTACTTTTCTCTTTATAATGGATTATTTTCCACATAAATGAATTAATTACACGATCTATTATAAGCTTGCGAATGCACAAAAATACTGGCCATCTATGTGGCCATTTTTTCAAATAGTTATTGTTCTTCTGTCTGTTCCGTTTATAAATAACACATTAGCGGAACATATAGTTTAAAAAAGTATATTTCTACCTGACTTACATCTAATTAGGCTGCCTTCACGGTAACATATATGGCAAAGTGTGCTTATGCGCTCATAGATATTGGTACGGTAAAACAATTTTGTCGTACAAACTTATTACTGCATTTTATGATTCAAAACTTAACAGAATAGCAAAAAATAATTTTTAAAATTTAAATTGCTGCTTGCTTCTGAAAATAAATGCGATTCCTTATACTTGGCTTCACTTCCCTTTGAGCAATTTTGGACAAAATTTTGCAGTTTTGGAAGGGATAATTTTTCCACGTTTTGCTTGTTTTGGAATTCTTCCATAGTACAATGCATATTATTAAAGAGTTTTGTTCTGTCTTACCTACTAGCATAGGAAATTTTTCGATATAATTTTACTCATGATTTAGCCTGAATTGGTGCCTATTTCGCTCTATAACTTAACTTTAAATAAGAGAGCAGTTTTCCAAACTAAAGCCTTTCTTATTATTAAATCCACTCAGTTGATTAAAATAACCTGTCCAACTATATGCTAAACTACCAAGTTAAATTTCCTCATGAAAGTTGCATGCAGGACTTTCCATACTGTAATAGCACGTCACTTTGGCACCTAGATGGGGGGAGATGCGCAGCTTGCCCACTGATATAAAAGGGTCTGGTTAAGTGTGATTGACAGATGGTTTATTCTGTTCATTTTGACATCACAACGTTTTTTGCATCAATTTGTCAGTCTGCCGCAGACCCCCCTCCCCTCGTACCCTTCTGTCATTGGGCGGATATAATCAGTTGTTCAATCAATCGAAAGATTTTAAGTGCTAGATTATGATAGGGAGGAAATGCGTGCCCTCATGGCAAAGTTTGTGACGAATATTGAATCGAACCGCGATATGGACGATGCCAGCTCCAAATACGTTGCTAGACAGTGTGTCCCGTGTCTGACTCTTAAAATAGGTCTGGTTTTTGTTAACCTGCCTTTCTTTCTGGAGTTTTAAGGCGAGCGTTGTGAGCCTAGAACATAGACA